CCTGATGCCGATCAAATTTTCAGCAATTCTAACTATGTTAGTCATTGTGATGATGCCTCTGTAACTCCTAATCCTGGAAACCCGGAACGCGCCGTAGAAAGCCCCATGGAAGCCCCCAATCCCTCCGTCTCAGTCCTGCCATCAGCAGCCTTCGTTCATCATAGTCGTTCCGGACTTGCTGTCGGATGCGGAGAGGGGGTCTTCCAACCCACTGACTATGGCGAGTATCCAATGAGACTTGATGATGGTCAGTTATTGCCTGATGTATCTGTGATTTCCAGGGAGAGCAGTCGTTCGATTCCTTGCCGCAAGCAGGAGGTCGTGATCTTCTACCAAAACGCCGGTAGAATGAATTCTGATGTTGAAGAGTACCGCCAACAATCAATACGAAACTAACGATTTTAAATTGGCTCACTACTTGACTAGCCTATTGGTCCCAAGCAAATCGATAACGTACCCCATTCTAGTCAAAATTCTAGTACTACACTATGTTTGTTTTGATTCGCTATGACAGTTTGACAGACAAAATGGGGGGTTAGTGGATTTTCCTATGTTTCGAGGGGTGAATCGATTAGCTTGGGACCGAAGATAGTACCAGAGCTGAGCCAAAAAGTTGAGCACGTTTCTTCGGGACCTACTAGTCTTAGAGTTACCTCTATGGTACCGCCTAGCTGTATCGGATCGTTGCTACGATATTATTGTTCTGTGCGAAACGTGGCTCGATTATCGAACTCTTTCCAGTCAAGTCTTTGGTCCTGACTACGAGGTCTTTCGTTGCGATCTGAATCCTAACAACAGCCGTAAATCTACTGGTGGAGGTGTTCTTGTAGCTGTCCGTAGCGGGTTGGAGGCAAAGGCCATCGAAACGATTCATGGAACTATGTGGAGCAGGTTTGGACAGCCATCAATCTGGGTGATCGCACACTATTTCTATGCGCTCTGTTCATTCCACCTGATCGAAACCGCGACAATGAACTCATCGATACTCACTGTCGGTCAGTTTCCACAGTTGTCGAAAGTTCCACTCCAGTTGATGAGATATTCATTTTTGGTGACTTCAATCTGCCAGGCGTTTCGTGGAGTCCATCTCATAGCGGATTCCTGTATCCAGATCCTGATAGCTCTACATTTCACGCAGGAGCTATTAGCCTTCTCGACAACTACAGTGCAGCGACGCTTTCTCAAATTAACCATGTAGTTAACAAAAATGGTCGTAGTTTGGACCTCTGCTTCGTGAGCACACAGGACAGGGCTCCATCAATTTCCTCGGCTCCTTGTGCACTAACTAAGCTAGTTCCACATCACCCTCCTCTAATTGTCACTGTTGAGGACAAACTCATGCGTGATTTCGGCGACTATACTGCTACGGTTTCTTATGACTTCCGTAAATCTGACCACCGTAGCATCATAGATGTGTTGTCTAGCATGGTATGGGAGAACATCCTTGATCCAGATGACGTTGAGGCTGCAGCGCAAACCTTTTCACATGTCTTGGCATATGTCATTGACAGACACGTCCCGAAAAGAACTCACCACAAAGTGTCTCACCCTCCCTGGAAGACGAGAGAGCTACGTAGGTTGAAGTCAATCAAGAGAGCTGCATTGAGAAGATTTACGAAGTATCGCACGCTTCCTCTGAAACTACATTATGTGAGGCTGAATCACATGTACCAGCGAGTCAGTCGTGAATGCTTTTCAAGTTTCCAACGAGGCATCCAGCGCAAACTTAAGCTACACCCGAAATCCTTTTGGAACTACGTGAACGAGCAACGCAGGGAATCCGACCTCCCATCGTCTATGGAATTCAACGGAGAAGTTGCTGCAACTGTTCAGGATATATGCCACATTTTTTCCGAAAAGTTTGCCAGTGTATTCACTAATGAGACACTAACTGACGACTATTAACCTGGCTGCCAGGAACGTTCCAGTAAACGATCAAACGCTGGGTGCAATTGATGTTAATGCAGAAATGATTTCTAAGGCCGCGACTCTGCTCAAGTCATCCTTCAATCCTGGACCTGATGGAGTTCCATCTGTATTTTTGAAGTGATATATTGCTAGATTGTTAATTCCGCTTCTTCGCCTGTTCCGAATGTCTCTCTCAGGTGGCATTTTTCCATCTTGCTGGAAATTTGCGCACATGTTTCCCGTCCACAAAAAAGCAAGGAAACGAGCTGTGGATAACTATCGAGGAATTACATCGTTAAGTGCCGTTTCGAAGCTATTCGAGCTAGTGATTATGGAACCGTTGCTGTCCCATTGCAAGCAGTATTTGAGTGCTGATCAACATGGGTTTACTGTCGGCCGCTCTACAACTACCAATCTGCTATGTCTCACATCGTATATAACCGAAAGCATGTCGGATCGGGTTCAAACGGACGTTATTTATTCAGACCTATCCGCAGCATTCGACAAGTTGAACCATGCTATTGCGATTGCTAAACTCGGCAGACTCGGTGTATGCGGTAATCTTCTGAGTTGGTTTCGATCATATCTTACCGGTCGGCAACTAAAAGTTGCCATAGGAGATTGCAGATCAGCTAGCTTCTTCGCCACATCAGGTATACCTCAGGGAAGCCACATGGGACCGTTAATTTTTATACTGTACTTCAACGACGTGCATCTGGTCACCGAAGCTCCTCGGTTATCATATGCAGATGACCTCAAAATCTTCCTACGAATCTGCTCCATTGCTGACTGTCACTTTCTTCAACGTCAACTGAATGTATTCGCTAGTTGGTGCAGGTTAAACAGAATGGTAGTGAACCCAGCCAAATGCTCCGCTATTACCTTCTCACGAAAACAACAACCGATAATATTTAGCTATGACCTGCTTGGCTCGACAATCGAACGCGTGAATCAGGTGAAAGACTTGGGTGTGATCTTGGATTCGCAGCTTTCATTCAAGCAACACATTGCATATGTTGTTGATAAGGCGTCAAGAACTTTAGGGTTCATTTTTAGGATAGCTAAAAACTGCACTGATATCTACTGTCTAAAATCTCTCTATTGTTCGCTTGTTCGATCGACGCTTGAGTATTGTTCAGCGGTTTGGAAGTCAAACTACAACAACGGTGCCGAGAGAATTGAATCTGTTCAACGTCGCTTTCTTCGTTTTGCGTTGCCTAGATTGCCTTGGAATGATCCGTTTCGATTACCCAGTTACGAAAGCCGTTGTCAACTTATCGACCTAGAACTTCTCCGGACTAGAAGAGACACAATCAGAGCTCTAACCGTGGCCGATATCCTACAAGGAAGGACAGATTGTGAGGCTATCCTGAGGCAAATCGACCTGAATGTTCAACCCCGACCGCTTCGTAATAACCTTATGCTAAGACTGCCTCTACGTCGCACAAATTATGGAGCGTACGGTGCGATTTGCGGACTGCAGAGAACATTCAACAGAGTTGCATCTGTTTTCGACTTTCATCTCTCCCGTGATGCGCTTCGTCGAAAGTTTTTCTTCTGTTTTTCGCCGGCAGGAGTTAAGATATTGACTATAAGAAATACGTTTTTTTAATGTTTTTTTATGTTATGACCATGCTTGAATGTATTTTTTTTTACCATAGTTGATAAGGTTAAAATCATTGGGGCTTCATCCAGCCTGTTGATGTAAAACAACAATAAACAATAATGTTCATTGTAGTCTCGTATAAACTTCAAACGCGTTTCGTATGAAAATCATAATGGAGACGTGCAATTTGTATAAGCCTGCTATGGAAAACATACGTGTCGTATGAAATAATTTTCACAGTTCAAAATGCTCGTTCATACGAAACGTATTATAAAAATCTTAATTCTAGTTTTTTCATTATTCGGTATTTTTTTATAATTCTTCTGTTTGTGTGTCCTTTTTTATATTGTTCCTTGTATTTCGAAAAGATATGGGGTTTTACGCCTATTTGCAAAAATATTTGCCAAATAGGCTTTTCCCCATCATTCTTCATTTAGACAACAAAAGTCCGATGAAGAGAATAATGAATAAACAAATAAATAAATAAATATAATTTAATCCTTGACCTCACAATTGGATCTTGAATGTCTAAGCAAGCTCCATCGTCGATCTCACCAGAAGCCGATGTTTCTTCTTCGATCTTAGGTCACCGGGTTTGGTAGGTGATAGAAACACCACAAGGTCATTCACGGTCACTTGACCTAGAATTAAATTTACTTCACTTGAAAAATAGCACTGGTTTGAGGGAGAACACAAGTGATCAGAAGCACATTATATTTGAGACTAAATTTATAGTTATTCATCCCCAGTATCATGCCCATCGATTGCTCTTCAGTTTATAACCTCGATCTGCTGGATGCTGCGAGAGTGAGAGTGAGTTTCCTCTCGCAATCATCAGTGAAGCTGATGATTGTTGTAGAGTGGGTTTGATGACATTAAAAGTGATTGAAATTAAAGAAATATTTTACACAATATCATCAGAAATTCGAGAACGCAAGTGGAGGAGCACCAGATTGGAATTCACGGCAGGACATCCCAGCTCGTGGCGAAGTTTCAATAAAAAACAAAGCAAGTCGACAGAAATTAGACTTGAACTCATGGTAACGCGAAAGCAAGTAGTTTTTTTTTTTCCTTTGGTTTGTTTTTTTTTCCGTCGATCTTGTTTTCCGTGCTGAGCACCAATGCTACCGACGTGCCAGGAAGGCAGCTCCCACACCTGGACCCTACCTATCGACCCATCAACTCATGAACCGGGGACCAACGGCTTTACTTCCCATCCGAAGGAATGCGTGATCAGAGATGTTATGCCTCAAGAACATCCCGGCGGCGCCGACTGGGATTGAACCCATGCCTGTTGGGGTGAGAGGTAATCACGCTTACCACTACACAAAGCAAGTAGAGTTGTAGATTAACAATTATTTAGGTATAAATGGAATATGTCATCTTATATTTCACGCCGAACTTTGCCCTGTGCCTTCGGAATAAATTTCAAAATGAAACATCGCTAAATTCGGCGCTAAAAAAATACACAATTTGTACTGTTCCAACTACTTACACTTTAATGTCCCAATGTGGCTAACATATTTCCTACATTTGTTATCCGAAGATTTTGAATGCATAAACTTGAATAAATAATTTCGATAAATAAAGTCGCTCAACAGTTTTGCATGATAATACGTACACAGAAAAATTCACATTCAATTTACGCTTCGTTTTCTGTGACCATCCGAAGCAGATTTTAAAAATCCTTGTTCTTATCGAAACCGGTTACTTGCAATTGTCCCTGTGCTAAAATAGGATCCGAAGCAAACTTACCGTTCCGTTTTTCGTCTTCCCTGTTCGAATCACTGTACGTATCGACCGAACGCGATATCCTGAAAGAAGCATGGATTCCTTTATTGATTATGAGCCTCAAATGGAAAACCACCAAATTTCGGTTGTATCGAAATACTCACCTTGAAATGGTTTTGATTTCTTTCAAATCCGGGAGCTGATTGAACGCATCCGGTACGTCCAGTTCCACCGAGGATGAGCCGGATATGTTCGTCTGGATGGCTTGGAAAGGTTCCTCGATGGTACGGCTCGTCACATTGATCGAAGGTACATTTAGAATGTCGTGCAGATTTGCCAACGTTGCCCGTGGGTCCCCACGACTTAGACACAGATAGTACTTTAGTTGAGAAATGTTCTGATTAAGGAGAAACACTGCGTACAGCAGGGCATTGGTTGGTGGTCCCGAACGACAGTAGAGAGGAAACCTACGGGTAAAGAAGACCGTTATTGAGTTAAGCGAATCTGATTCTAGGGCAGGGATTGAACGTACTCTCGATCAGCCGTTGGTAGAACTTTGATGCAGTCGATCATTTTCGACCGAGATCCTTCGTATTTGATGGGATTTCTGGAACAGGAAGAGGAAGCCGATGTAGGTATATGGTAAACCTTTTATAGTCTGAAGACATGGTCAGAACATACAGAGGACAAGTCCAAGTAATAAATTAATTAGTAATTTATGTGCATTATGTGGAAGGCTCATTAAATGAGGTCAAGTTCAGAGGATTCAATCGATTAGTGCACGACTAGAAGACCCCATGTAAGTCCAGGAGGCTCCTATAACAAGTTTAGAAGGCTTCAATTGCAAAATCAAGACCTGAAGGCTGATATATATTGTTTCAATGTACACACTTATGGCGGTCATCTCCAACTCGGATTAACTTTTAATACCGACCCTGTTTGGATGATCAATGTTTGTTTAGAGTCATGTTGATTAACTCTGATGTCGACATCAAAGAAGTCGACCATTCTTGATCGGAATTTAATCCGAGGATAATACCGGTTGGAGCATACCACCATTAGAGAATAATACCGAAATTTGTTTAATTTTCTACGACACCACTTCGGTTACCAACAAGGAACCGAATAATTCGTTTAAACATATTTTGTCAGGTGTTTTTTTCGAAACAAACCTGAATTTCGGTTATAATAGGATAAATATGACAGATAGAAATGATGGCTGAACCGAAAAGTACAGTAAAGTAGTGATATTTTCGAGTTCGGTACACGAAAACCGAGAAAGCCCGGTAAACTAAACTGATTATTGAGCGGTGTACGAATTTTCCTTGTCTATAGTATGCACGTACCGGAACATGTCTATGATATTTTTTCATGTCTAACTAATTTTGCACGCTTATCAGTGCTGTACCTTAATGGAATATTCAATATTGAAGAACACATCATCACAGCATGTGCAACGTAGCCTAAAGCAACGCTAAGCGCCAGCGCCGGAGTTGCATCCGTATACGATTCGGCATTCGGCAGAGGAATATCGTTAATTGTACAGGTGCCATTGTTATGCTGAAAAATCAATATCGATGACTAAATATCGCAAAGACCACAGCATTATAAGCACCAACGATACATACCTTCTTTATGCAATAAATCTCGTTCAGACCTCTGAGTAGACGATGCCTAGCGCTCAGCACCTTTTCCCTTAAACCGCGATAGCACTCCTTTTCACTAGCATAGGCAAGCTTTTGCTGATATAGAACCTCTTTCTCCTTTCCGTAGTTGCGATAACTGTCCATCAGTGCCGATTCGGCTTCGATGTTTGCATCGGTCATTTGGTGTAACTTCTGCTGCAGTTGCCTAATGCTTCCCCTTATACGTTCCTTTTCCTGTGTTAGTATTCGGCACCGGAATCGAGCCTGCTCGACTTGACGCCGCAATTCTTGTGCCTTCAGTAGAATCTCCGGTTTTAGCGGCTCCTTCTCTTGGTACAGTAAACGACTCAGCTGTTTGCCCATGCCACCTCGGTTTTGGTTGGAACTGACGGAGGAACGATAAACCAGCTGTTTATCGGAGAACAGTTCCAGATTGAGGCAGTATGCACTTTTCATGCAGATACGATCAATCACCTCTTTTGCACTTTCGCTCTCGTACTTAATCCTACGCTGTCGTTCTTGCACTGCCAGTAGTCGTTTGACGTCGTAACTAGGTCTGGCTTCCGATTTGAAAAATTCCATAAACAGATATCGAATTTTTAAATTGGTTTCAACTTCGGTTGGTGTTGGACTAATTGTTGTTCGAACCATAAAAAGGGATTGCTCATCGGGTGAACTGGACCGTGTAGTCTGACGTCCCGACGGAGAAGATGGAGAGTAACCGCTTCCTAGTTTTGATATTTTACTTTCCACGTTCAGTGCACTACTCGGGGAGTACCAACTAGGTGGAGAACTATTACTATTATCACAGAGTAGTTCATTTTTGTCAGAAAGTAAGCCTAAATGCAAGCCATCGTTAGTGGCCGTTGGTATTTTCACTTTAGGCACCGACGTCGGGGGGATCTGTTCGTCACCGTCTAGGATATGTTCGGCGGATGTGAAATACCCTCCGTGCATTTGGAAAACCAACGTGTTATCCTTGAGACGCTTCTCGCTGCGTCTCGTAAGTGGAACTAATCCTGAGAAGTAGACACCCCAAAGGAAAAGTAGTTTATCTTCTTGTTCGGAACTCTCACCGGGATCGTCTGCCGGGGGAACCGTCTCAGCATGACTTCGAGGATTGTGTTGCCACACTCGGACACAGACGCAGCGTAGCGAGGATTTCAGGGCCATTGGGCAATTAATCTCTGGCCAAATGATGTTATTGTGAATGTCCAACTTTTCGCTGGTGTAGAAAGGAGCCGACATAGTTGTCGTATGCAGCGTAAAATACACGGAACATTTCAGATGGTCGCACACGATGTTGTGTCCTGAGATTTGTATCAAGCTGCGTAGACGGAGCTGCTGAGTTGAGAGAGGACTCCAATCACGACATCTCGGTCGGTCGAACATTTTCTGTGTATAATAAGAGATGATGGATGAATATCGAAATAAGAAACAAAATCCTTTATAAACAAAGCGAATAAAAATACACAAACCCATAACGACGAATATGACACCCTACATCAACAAACGCTGTGCAAACAATGAAAAGACAAATTTCTGCTGCATCAGCGCTGTTATCAGAGAGGGAGAAACGCACAAACCCATTAATTTTGTAGTGCATTAGATGGAAATCTGTTTTCTCCACTTTCAGAGATCGAAGCTCGCTGAATGCAGCTTCCATCGATAGGCGTAAAGAAAGCGATAAAGCACGGATCGAGCATATTGTTCGATTTCACTAATTAGATTACGTGAAATTGTGGAGCAGAGACTCTTTTCACAATAACAAATGGATTGTTTGCCTAAAGATATTTTGTAATGCATTAGCTCCGTTCTTACACGATGCAAATGTTTAAAATAGCTAGGCCTATTCCCCAAGTTTCACTAATGTCTATTTTTATGATTGTTTCGTTTAGAAAAAGGGTTACCTCATTTTTTTGTTGATAAATCAAGTAGGATATGTTGTCCTTGTTTTTTGTTTGATCAGCTCACAGTTCGTCCTGTAGTCATCATATTTTATTTACTCCATATATATAAGCAGCCAACATCTTAACATTGAAAACTAATTATTGGTGTTGAAATTTTCCAGCAAATCTGATAAAACAAAAAAATCCGATTGAATTGAATGCACAAACTTTTGATAAAAATTTTCCTCCTTTTTTGTTGCTTTTTTGACGGGAAGACAAAAGTGTCAGCGATTTTACCGAGTGGACAATGTGGAACTAATTTGAGGGTTTGGATCAGTCAATGATGTACACTCAAAAATATTACAAATCGAATATAGATTAAATTGTATGCATATTAGGGTTTTTCAAAATTTATCCATTGGTTCGAAATTTTCGTCAAAGTTATACATAGTCCGAATAACGGAGTATAATTCGATAAGTGTTTACCAAAATGATAGAAAATGACAAAATCAAACGTGATGGCGCTCGTAGTCGTTTTTCAGTCACAGCCCATCCGGGAAGAAATCCGTCACGTCACAACTCGTCCGGAAAAAGAACATCTGGATTCTCTCCGGAGCTTCGTGCTGGTGAAGAGCTTCGTCCCAGCGGATTTCTACTAACAAGTGGAAACTAACGACTTTAAATTGGCTCACTACTTGACTGGCCTATTGGTCCCAAGCAATTCGATTAACGTACCCCATTCTAGTCAAAATTCTAGTACTACACAATGTTTGTATTGATTCGCTATGAAAGTTTGACAGATAAAATGAGGGGTTCGTGGATTTTCATATGTTTCGAGGGGTGCATCGATTAACTTGGGACCGAAGATAGTACCAAAGCTGAGCCAAAACGTTGAGCACGTTTCTTCGGAACCTAATAGTCTTAGAGTTACCTCTATGTTTCTACTTCGCATGTGATCAGCTGGGCAGCTATCCCGAAAAAAAATAACAACAAAAATACGTTAAAAAACAATGTAATAATAAGACGAAAATTATTGTCTTAACAATGATTTATATTGTTACGTCTACAATAAATTTACCTTGATTTATGTTGTACAAAACAATAAATTTCATGGTAAATGGAAAATTTACAATAAAAAAGGGGGGTTGTTAAGTATCTTAACAATGAAATTTTCGTGATTTCCCCATATAATTTTTTTTCAATAACATTATATATTATTGTTATTTTACTGTTGGTTGGCGAATTCATTGATTAAAAAAAATAACAGTGTACTTTAGAGTGTATGTGTTGGCTTGACAGTTCTACTTTATCGACTTTAAAAATAAATCGAAAAAATAGAACATCGCCCCGGGAAGGGAAGGGGTGGTATGTCTGTTACGGGTGAGTCCTTTTTTTACTGGTTATGGGTTGAGATTCGATCCTGAACTTGTAATAAATGGAGGCCAATTCCCCTGCACTCGATCTCTCTAGGTCACATCTCCTTGGTGGTTGAGCGTCGTTGATAAGTTAATGCATTCTACTGGAGAGAATCGCCCATGAAATATGTTTCCACCTGAGAGTTCCTTCCTGACATCTTCAAGTGGTGGAATTTTTTATTATTATATTGTATGATTATTGACTGCACGGAAAAGGTCTGCATTTAGCGGGATTTAGATGAGGCAGGTGAGTTGAATTCAACTCAAACCGATCTGCTCGTAGGCATTCAATTGACTTGGCAACGAATAGAGCAAGTCCGATATCGGTCAGATTTCTGGACGTTCATTTCGCAGTTCAATTGCAAAAAGCTTTAAAGCACACTAGTGACATCTGGCTCCGGGTTCACAGGAAATATTTAGCTAAGCCATGAGCCCGCATGAAAAATTTATGAATTGGTTCGTGTCTGATCTATTCTGGACAAATTATTTTTATCTAGATCAAAAAATCCTATGGTTTTGACAGTTCAGACCCAAACGCAATGTGGACGGAAGTGGAACGAAAACGGAAAGTTTGACTGTTGTCATAAATGACATCAAGAAGCCCAACCGATGTCGATTTGGTTCTAACTAGTTTTCAATCCGACAAGTAGGCTTACTCAGATCGGGCGTTTCCACTGCCGCTTCCGTTCCGCTTCCGCTGTCATTGCGCTTGGACCTTTCGAATCACTGCACATTTAAATCGACCGTTTACGATTTTCGGGCATATTTTAGTCAAAATTAATTGTAATGTCGGTTTGTTGGTGTTTCAAGGACGGATTTTACTACAAAATGTATAAAAAGTAATCATTTATATAATTTAACACGCAATAAGCTAATAGGCGCTAAGCAATAAGGAGTCGTTTATCAATTATGTCACACATTTAGGGGGGAGGGGGGGTTTTGAAAACTGTGACGAGCCATACAAAAAAAATTAAGGTCCATACAAAAAATGTGACAAAGGGGGGGGGGGGGTTGAAAATGGGCCAAATTTGCGTGACATAATTAATGGACCATCCCTAAGCTTGAAATGTGAATAAGAAGAAAAAGTTATATAATTTAAATATGATGGGGACGCATGCTTTTTTTATTAATATCGGAGTCTTCTTATTTGTGTCAATGATTGCTCGGATTCAATACTATTTTATAGAAAAAAATCGCAGGCAGACACCGGACGATGACAACCTGAATTGGACCGTAATTTCTCAATGTTTCTGCTAAAATAGCTAAAATTTTTCGCTTAGGCAAATGGTGTGCATCAACGAAGCAGGATACAACAAGGTTTGAAGTTTTTTACCCATTAATGTGAATAAAATAGATCACCCCAGCAGGCCTGGGTTCAATCCCTGTCGGCACCGCCGGGATGTTCTGAGACATACACACTTAATCTAGCTCAGCAAAATCTCCAACAGCCGATTACTTCGGCATTTACTTTTGCTGCTATCTCTGCAAAATATCTGTTTGTTAGCTGATATTTCAGCAAACTGATATTTGTTAGCTGAGTCTCGGCAATTGGGTTCTTTAATTTTGAAAAATGTATTATGTTTTATACATCATCCGAAAGAGCTTCGTTTTCTGAGCACAGCGATATTTTTTCGAACCCATGCACATACATTCATCTTGATTTTTAAATCAAGATTTAAAGCAAAATAGTAACTTCACTGTTTGACACTAAACTAATGTCGTTTTCGTTTTTGCGGTGTAGCACTGGTGTAGTGTAAGCAGGAATAAGCGCGAGTCTTTGACAGCTTAACATCATTTATTTGTAAACAAAGGTGCATCCTATATCTACACCCTAAAATATTTCGGTGTACGGCAGTGTAGCACCGGTTTAGCTACACCGCTAAAACGAAAACGACATAACAAACTGACGCTTCCATACAAAGTGACACCGAGGGGCGCTAATAAGGTGATTTTTGCTAATGTAATCGTACTTATTTAAAATAGTTCCAATGTACCAAAATTGAAGACATTTTGGGTTTGGGTTCCATTTTTAATACAGATTACGAATATGCATTTAACCCAATACCCTTAAAGAACCCAATTTTTTGACTGTAATTCAGTCAAACAATTGGGGCAAAATAAATTGCAGAATAACTCGGCTGTTGGAATCCCGGCGAAAAATTTTAAATGTGTAACATCTCTGATCTCTGACGTTGGAAAGTAAAGCCGTTGGTCCACGGTTCATTAGTTGATGGGTCGATAGGTAGGATCCAGGTGTGGGAGCTACCTCCCTGGCGTCGGTAGCATTGCCCTAATAAAAATTGTATGGTTAATTTGCTTAACGACGTGTTCTGGGTATCATCCAAACCATTTGTGGAATAGTTCAATGATTTGGGTTATCGTTCGTTTATGGTTATTTTTATTAGGGTGGTGCTCAGCACGGAAAACAAGATCGACGGAAAACAAATCCAGCAAAGAATGCACATATTTTTTACATTCTTAAATGGGTATTTTTTTTACACATTTTAAGATCTCGTAATTTGCACAGTTTTTGACAGCTATATGTATATGTATATTTTTACTCATTAATGTGTTTACGCTGGTTACCGTGATGAGTAGATAATACTCAAATTTGGGTTGTTTAGAAATAGCGTGTATCCATTTTGGAGGTTCTCTCAAATTTTTCAGTGTGTGGAACAATTCGGTGTCGGCTAAAAGGTTGCCGTAAAGTGGACCCTACACGATTGCTTTTATTGACAATAATCGAAATGTCAATACATTCTATATTGACGTCAATACATCGAGTTTGACAATATTTCTGAATTCACATCATCAGTATTATTGGCAATAATTCCCCTTCGCGTCAATATATTGATGGGTGTGGGGTTTGCTTAAAAAAAGCAAGAAAAGCCGATGTCCTCCGACAGCAAAACATTGTTTTGTTTTTGTTTGTTTGCACGCTATTTCAAAACTACCCAAATTTGGTTAGAATCCACCCATATTGGTCAAAACTGAACCTACCTAAAAATGGGTAAACTATGTTGGGAGTGACAAGTTGACAAATGGACAACATCAACATGAATCCGGTCGACTTTGTTAATTTATCAACTTGTCACTCCCAGCATAGTTCACCCATTTTTGGGTAGGTTAAGTTTTGCGTGAATTCTACCCAAATTTGGGTAGTTTTAAAATAGCGTGAGATGTTGTGCTTTCTGTATCCTTTCGAGTAATATCGTGTGTTTCGAAAACTAATTTTAGTGATAATTTTTTTCAACGAAGTAAAACAATATAATCATGAATCTCAACTTTATGCTTACGGAAATATCGCTTCAATTGCTGGGCAACAAGTTCTACGACATCAACGGCCGAGAGACGGACAATCTAAAGGATTTGTTTTCGGCCCATTCATCACTGCGGTCACATCCTATCAATGGCCAGCAAAAGCGTACACTAAAAACGAAAGGCAATTTGATGCAGATGATAGGCATGCCAGGATTGAATAGTGTTCAGAAAAACACAAACGATTATGTCGATAGCCAGTACAGAGGATTTATGGACAACCAACGGGCACGGAACGACGCAATGTCGCAAACTGAAGCACCCGCCACGAATCCAGCACAGGTACAGAAGGATCTGTGTGAAATGCGCATCAAAACCCAACAGGAGTTCGTGAGGATAGTCGGGCACTCGAAAAAGATGAAGGACATCTACCTGGATACCTTGCCAGCGGATGCCGATCGAGGTGAGTCATCACAAATCACATTAACTCAAATCGTGTAACTTTTTTAAAGGTCGTAAGTAACAAAAATGTTAACAAATCGAGTTAATCGATACAAACTATTGCTCTTCTATCATTGTATGTGCTACAAAAACACCCATCCAAATTTACTTTTATTTATTTGGGGTGATGCACACTAAGGAGGGAGGGGGGTTTATGGTTTTGTGACAAGCAATGCATTACACGGTGTTTCGCGAAAATTCATTAATGTGCATAAAAATACCCATTTCCGCTAAAAGTGCCCCTCCTGCTCTCCTCATTTAATGGGTATACTATTTAATTAACTCACTAATGGGAAAATTGGGAGGTCTATCAATAAATGGATTTTTTTTTCTTAAATTGTGTTTACCGTAAAATGGGTAAACATTGAGGATGCAGGCGCTTGGTTATTTGTCCTCGTTGATATAAAAAAACTTTCTTTCTTTCATTGAAAATAAATGCAGGTGTTCCGATTAAATTTTATGACACGAAATATTATAATACAACATTAGATAAAATTGTATTGACTTATCCGTAAGCCTCTCCAACGTTTCGGATTCTAACATTTTCCGGAGATCGTCCATTTTCGCGTAAAAAGCTTCGGGCAGTAACTGTTTGCATTACCAATGAGTCGGTGACGGAAATGAGACGATAAACATCAGTGGTGTTGAGTACTTGGCACTGATGACGTCTGCAAGTAGTAGACGAAATACGCATATCTGTCAAAAGATAAGCAATTATTACGGAATTAAAAGGAAATAAACCAACACACTCAAAGCTCTTCTTCATATAATTATACTTTTAAGTTTGCTTGTCTAATTGTAAGATAAAAATTAAAACATTGAGTTGTATAAACTTGACAAATCATTCCTCTAACATAGTAGTAGTTACAGTGTGGTATGATCTAACAATCACTGTCTGCAACTAATGTTGGAGGGGCCGGATTACGGATTACGGATCAAAACTAACATAACTCTAACACTAAAAATGATCCCGAAACAACGCTTATTCATTGTCTTTTTTTTATATATGCGTTTATTTTTCCAGGCTCATTTGCCGTTGATTTGCGGAGCCAATATTCATTGTTTAGATTACAAAATTACTTAAAACTAACGTTAGTAAAGCGGGGGCCGATTACTCGCGGCTATCTCGAGGTTAGGGGTAACAAATTGTAACAAACGGGTGGCAGGGTAGGGATTGAAAACACAAGGTTTTTTAGAGCAATGTGCTCTTGATCTAGAACTAAGCGACATACTGGAGAAAAAGACAAACATGGGGGTACACCGATGGAGACCTAGCAACTTGAGAGAACACAAGATGACACTAACTACTAAATCCTTAGATCGATCCGTTTTAAAAACACATAAATTAAATTAAAATATTCGAGATCTCGGCTCGCCAAGATGTCTCTAACGGGCCGCATAGGTTGTTTCCCTCGGGCCCTGAGGGATGTGGATAACTCGGATCTAGCAACAATATGTAGGGTGCATGACCAAAGCACGTGGTCGATATCGTGATAGCCACTACCACAAGCGCACAAATTGCTGCCTGCGAGCCCGATTCGGAAGAAATGCGAGTCTAACGAGTAGTGATTGGACATGACCCTTGATATGACACGTATAAAGTCACGGCTCATGTCCAATCCTTTGAACCATGGCTTGTTCGATACCTGTGGGAGAATAGAATGTAACCATCTTCCCAGATCACTCTCATTCCATTTTTGTTGCCAGTTGGTGAGGACGTGCTGACGGGTAATTGAAAAAATTCCGCAAAGGCGATTTGTCGATCAAAAATATCGCCTTCCATAGCGCCCACCTTAGCTAGCGAGTCCGCTTTCTCATTACCCGGAATTGAGCAATGAGATGAGACCCAAACTAAGGTGATAGTATAGGAGCAGTTAGATAAAGTACTCAATTTAGCTCGGATTTCGGTCAGGAAATACGAGGAGTGCTTCATCGGCCTCATTGATCGAATAGCCTCCAACGAGCTAAGGCTATCTGTAAAAATAAAATAGTGATCAGATGGTAGTGAGGCAATTTGCTCTACTGCGTAAAATATGGCTGCTAGTTCCGCAACGTATATGGAACAGGGTTTTTGCAGTTGATATGAGGCGCTATGTAATTCGTTGAATACTCCAAATCCAGTGGAACACGCAGAAAAAACTATCGTCGAAACAAAAATATTTGAGGTAAATTTAAACGTAAACTCAGTTTGTTCTGGCCACAAAAATAAATTAGGTTGATTTCAAACGTATTCCATGTTTGAAGTCAAAAATAATATTACGTTTATTTTAAAAATATTCGTGTTGAAAATAAACGTATTTGTTTTTGTTTGGTTTGACAGCTAGACGAACAAAAATAAATATGCTTATTTTAAACATGCTTCTCATGTTTTTATTTTAAAGATACATATTTTTAAATTATTTTAGAAGTTGAGTGCAGGGTAAAGCAAAATAAAACTTATTGCAAATGAAAAACAAAAAGATCATGCCTGCTCTTTTTCGGGTGCGATTAAGGGTGACCTAATGGTATTGGGGTCCTGGTCCGGGATGCGGGTACCCGTCGGGGTTGGTGTTCGGGGATTTTAGTTCAGTGGAACCGGTGAAAAATTGTGACATTACCGTCGTTTTGTCGTTTCTTCCACTGGTCATCATACCGGTTTCTTTCTACGTTCGGATTTTCGTTGTTCTTTCGAAGTCACATGTGGATGAGGATGATATAGAGATCGGCATCATAAACGACGGAGTGAAGTTGATACTGTGGGGTTCCACCGGTTTTGTCGAGCTGGTTTCCGGATCCATCTTCGGTTATGCCACTTTCAGGTCGTTTTCTGTTGAGTTGAGCAAAGCTGGGGCAACTTTTTCCGAATGCAATAAGAAGGAAATAAAGATGCATGACACGCTAAAAACCGTTTACCCAAATCATATGTTGTTGAAATAAACATGCTTGTGAATTTTATTCAAACATAAATATTTTAGTTTTAAACATGCTTTCAATTTACTTTGAATAATTCATATGTTTAGGGTATAAACATTTATATTTTTGTTTTAAATGAACAAAATTTGTATCCGTGAAGCGTTTATAGTTGACCCATCTGTGAAAAAAACTCTTATTGTTACTAACATGGTGGTACTTGTTTGCAAAAATTAAGGGAACAACCATCGACCGATGGTGATCTGGTATTCCACGGATTTCTTGCAACATGGTCAGATCAAAATTTACAGAGGAACTATAAAAGTCTTGGAGGCAAACACGAGAGGAATTGAATGATGAAGGGCCAATATCCAGCGTCATGTACTCGTAATAGAGACTCATGAATCTTGTTTGATGATTTCTGTCGAGCAGCTTCTCAAAGTTCAAAGTGTTTTTATGTTACTTCATACGCGAAGTTAACGATTTTCAGAGTTGGTTGGAAATGCTAACATGAAGCTTTAGTGTGATGATTTATTAGCTAGAGAATGATCTTTAGGTAGTGATGAAAACGTCGCTAGAACTATTCCACAGCCGCAGTCAGTTTATGAGCAAAAAGAGGGACGCACATTTTTGCCTGTGGACTTGGAGACATACTTCAAGTCTCCGCGTACATCGTACGGGTTAGGCAAAAATGTGCGTCGATCTTAAAACTGTCGCATTAATGGCCCTTCGCTCATTTTCAACTTCTATTCAATTTTCATACTGCCGTACTCTAACGGAACTATCCACCTACCCTCTTCTAAAGATCATTCTCTAGCTAATAAATCATCACACTAAAGCTTCATGTTAGCATTTCCAACCAACTCTTCTCAAAGTTGTCTATTACCAATGGGTTCATTACTTCACAACGGATAAGATACCGGAAGGACAGTTCCGTGAAACAATCTGTCAGTGGGAGAACACCCGCGAGTACTTCGAGGCTCATCGTATGCGTCGAGTGCATACAGCCAAGCGCGATTCGGAGGCAACGGTATTGAACCCGTTGCAGCTTCAAGATATGTGTTTTCGCCGCGGATTGAAAGCAGAAGCTACCGTACTCTAGAACCGACAAGCCCACTATCGTGGAGTTCATCCGAAAGGACATCGATACAAACAGAATCAAAAGTCCCCTTAATATCCAAGAAAACTGAACCTATTTGCTGTTTTTGCGCATAGGCCAGCTGAATTTCAGTTGAAAGCAACGTAAGACAGTCGCTCGTTCCTTTGCCTCTCCGAAATCCAAATTGCGTATCTGAAAGTAAACCATTCGACTCGACCCATTTGTCTAGACGAAAAAGAATCATTTTCTCCAACAATTTCCGTATACAGGACAGCATCGCGATGGGACGGTACGAGTTATAATCCGACGCGGGTTTACCGGGTTTTCGAATGGCAATAACTCTTACTTGCCTCCAGTCATCCGGAACAATGTTGTGCTCCAGAAATTGATTGAATAAGTTCAACAAGCGTCTCTTCGTGACGTCTGGGAGATTTTTAAGCAAGTTGAACTTGATTCTATCCATTCCTGGAGCTGAGTTGTTACATGAAAGGAGAGCAAGTGAGAATTCCACCATCGAAAACGGGGAATCTATTTCGTTATTACCCGGCGGACGATCACGAACGTTGGTTTGAACCGGTACCGAATCCGGGCAAACTTTCCGCGCGAAGCTGAAAATCCATCTGTCCGAGTACTCCTTGTCTTCATTTATCGGTGATGACGCGTTTCGCATTCTCCTGCCAACATTCCAGAGTGTTCTCATGGAAGTCTCTCGCGACAAACCATCGACGAACCGACGCCAGTAACCGTGTTTTTTTGGCTTTAGTCAAGCCCTTAAAGGTTTTCTCGAGGTCGGTGTACCGCTCTTGAGGAAGCGTTTAAACGCGCCGGACTTCTCGCTGTTCGCGTCGGTGCATTCCTTATCCCACCACGGGGTGGGAGGTCGCTTGCGGACGGAAACACCCGGAACACGTTTCGTCTGTGCTTGCAGCGCATAATCGATAATGAGACGCGCGAGAAAGGAGTACTCGTCCAGC